CTCAGATTTCTTTTTCTTCACAAATAATGGAATTTAGTTAAAATAATTATTTTAAAACCTCCAGTCACCCAATAACTAAAACCAAACCAATTAAAATCTCAATAATATGCCAAATAACCCAAATAAATTATTTAGCTTAATTTTGATCGGTATAAATATGATATATCTCATAAATAACAAATGTTTCAACTAAAAATTAATTTTTGAATATTAAAACAACAAATGGACAAATCTAAACCGATAGAAATGATCTACTATAATAGATCTACAATACTGTGGTTAGCACTAATCAAAACTCAACACTTTTCTCATACCTAAATCTTAAAATTTTTTCTAAGCAACACAAAATTACTATTATTAGATAAATTTAATTGAGTAGAATAACTTTTATAAAGGAATTTTTGTAATTAGGAGTAGTTTTACTTACCAAAATGATCTGTAACGATAAAGAGAAAAGTGAGAGAGAAAGCGACGCTGTGACCACGCGAGGGGAATGGAAAAAAAACTCAGGGTAGGCTGAAGTTAAGGACCCTATTTAAAATGGAGAAAATAACAGTTTGACCCCATTTTTCAATTTTTAAATATTTAAACTCTTACAATAAAAATTAAGATGTTACAAACATAATATCTCATTTCGTAGTAAGGGTTTCTACTCACAATAAACCATACTCGACAAAACAAAACCACCCACAATATATTCAAAAACACAGTATCCATCATCATCCTACCTACCCATAATTAACCCTAATCTAAAATACTAACACCCACCAATCCAAAAACACAAGCTTTCCATTGTTTAACTTGTTCATATCAGACCAAAAACAAAAGGTTTGTAGAAGCTAAAGGCAAGAACATTTTTTATATGCCTATACCCAAACACAATTTTTTGAACAAAAATTTTGCCAGGGAGGTAAGAAGAGGAAACAAAGATTCAAACCTTGAAATTAGAAGAGATGATTAAGATGAGAGGTTCTCGGGCTTCACTAATGGTGATGGGAAAGATGCCCCATCATCAATGACTGCTTGCTTTTCCTTTTCTTTTTTCCCCTTCATGCAAGAACATCAAGATGCGCAAGAAATCACTTCTCCCTCTCATTTTTCAGTGCCTGTTTTGGTCTACATTACCTAAGGCAAAAAAGTCTTTTCAGATTTCACTCAATTGCAACTAGGTCCCTTTGGGACTCCTAGGCAAATATCATATTTTCAAGGACCTTTTTATAGTGTTTTTTCTTCTATGGGATCTTAGTAGAATTTTCCCCATATTTAAGCACAATAAGAGTAAGGTTAAAAAAAAATCTAGATGAATAAAGAAAGTCTCCACATCAAATTTTTCTGTACATTTTGGAGCCCTTTACTAAAATGGACATTTTCTAATGTTTCGATGAATATCATGTTATTTAGGTTTTCTAATAACATTCATTCAATTGTTGCTCCAACGTTGTTATTTGTTCCTCTAGAATATGATTTAAATTACACTTTCTTTTTTTCTTTTTAATATGAAATTCAAATTTATTGACGCATGACTGATGTGCTTATTTTGTTTTTGATCATTGTGGCTGTAATTGTTTTCAAAGTTTAAGATTCTTTTATATTTTTTTATTTTACAAATAGTTACTTGTTTAATTTTTTTAGCATATTGGGACAAAAGCTAGTAATTTAGCTCATAAGGAAATAAAAAAAATTGATTAAAAATTTGATTAATTATTTTAATAAATATATGCTTGATAAAATTTGTTTGTAAATGTTTTTAACAAAATTGAAAAGTTGCAATTATAAATTTAAATAATTTATATATAAGTTTGGTAACACAATTATCAACATATTTTTTCCAACTTCAATAACCTAGTTAACAACTCTTATAATAATATTAACAACTCTATTAATGTTATTCACTATGTAATTTGAGAATTATTTTGACTTTGAGAGATTTCTGAATGCCAGATTGAGAATTTTTTAACTTCTGTAACATGGTTAATAAGTCAAATAATGGTGTTAACAAATTTAATAATGCAATTAACATGTTTTAAAAATATTTTCATAGAATAAGCACAAATGATATAAGGGCAATATAATTATTTTAGCAAATATTGAAATGATTATTTAGGATTTTTCAAATTAAAGTCTTATTTCGTTGTTATTTTTCCAACAAATATCTGTACCGTCATTTGTGCAACTGATCGGATCTCTAAGATTCTACGCCATCTTTTTTTTTGGGGGGGCCAACTCTACCCTGTCGTCCAAAATGACCATACTTTTGGTCCAAAAATGCAAAGTGACAAGACAAAATCATATTCGCCAGCAAATGTGGTTTCATACAGAGATTCCAAATCCATTCATTGCCTTCCATTGCATGGATGAGATTGACAAAGCAAATTTTCTATATGTCAGATTACTTAAAAAGTTTATGACCCAAGTTCTATATTGCATGAAAAATTAGAATTTTAATTTTAATTAACAAGTGTAGTTTTCGTAAGCGGCGGAAGTCTAAGCAGCAAGCATATTATATATATTTTTTGAAATTTTAAAATATTAAAAAAATTTTGAATGTAAAAATTAAAAATTCTAAAATGCAATATTTTTAACTAAATATTTTCGTTATTTAAGGCTAAATATATCGCAAATTTGAAATACTACTATTTTTGTAAAGGCATAAATTTGTTTATTTTTATTATTGATTCTTTAAATTTTTCATCATAAATTTGTTGTTCAGTTAGGAGATAGATGATTGAGAAAAAGTGGTAATATTCTTTTTTACAAAGAAAAGGTTCAAAATATCTGTTTGATTCTACGAAGATTTTTTTTGGAAAAAAAAAATTATTCTCAGGTTCTAATCACTTATAAATGCAAAAAACTTGACATGTACGTATCATAATTTAACATGTAAATAACATTGTATACAAAACCGGACCACTCCGGACCGTCGATTCAGACAGAGAATTGGTGAAATGGCCACTTGTTCTACCTGGTTCATCCTCTAAACTGAGAAAATAAAAACGGTCCAAACTAGCATGACTTAGTAATAATCCGGATAAAGTTGGCTCGGGTGGGTTGCTAGGTTATTAAAAAAACTCACTTACCACTCACTAGTGCGTGCCGGAGTTTCTCACTAGTTGAGCTCTCTTCCCCTCCGGCTAGGCTTATTTATTAAGACTTATTTATAATTATTTATAATTTTCTTTTCTTTTTTTTTTACCTTGATATATAATTTTCTTTGAAACCTTTTCATTTTTTTTTTGATAGTATTTGAAACCTTTTCATTGACAAAAAGAAGAAAGTCGGAAGAATTATATTATTACACGTTACATATCTCATGGCCCCTAAAATCCGTAGCGTGTGGAAGAAGCAGAACAACCCCGCCGACTGAGGGGGTGTTTGGCAAAACCAAAACCACGGTTACAAAATCACTTTTCCGCAAAACGAGGTAACCTCCTCCACATATTTATTTTATAATCCGTAAAAACACTTCTGAAATCATAGTTTGGTTTCTATCTAAACACCCCTGAATCTTATTGCTTTTAAATAAAAGAAAAAAAGCTTCACGCCTCTTCCATTTTTCAATTTGGTTTCCAAATTTGTAATTATAAAATTACAATTAAATTACTATTGCCATTTATATGTATCCAAGTACTTTTTGTGATAAATGTCTATAAAAAGTATAAATTTTTTTGGGACTGAAACTATAAAAAGTATAAATTTGATATAAGTAGTAACATATATTATTACTAGTATTATGTTTGAATTTTTTAATATTATAGGGTGTTTTCAAAAAAATAAGTTATATTTTTCTTATCTATATTGCTTTTAATTAATTTCAACTAATGTTTTCATTATGCCTGATTTGGTTATTTATATATTATAAAGATGATATAAGGAAGTAATTAATAATATTTACAAATTATGCTAGTTTGTCCACGTTATTTGATATGTCTATATAAAGAAATAATTATTGTAATTTTTAAAATTTGATAGTTGACTTTGAGAAACTTTTAAATTCATTTAAATGCCTGTCCTTTTAATTAAAAGGATTTTACACACCTAAGTAAATTTTTATCCTTTTTCAGTGGATGATCATTTTTTTTAACTTTTACTTGTTATTTCATTTTTTATCATAATTAATGTATTAAAATATATAAAAAGTATGATAATTCATATTATTATTAACCAATTATGAAGACCGTGTGTGATTTCTTCATATAATGCATAAACTTGTCTGATTTTAATTTTTTTTTTTGCCCAACTTGTCTAATTTTAATTGTAATAACCCTGGAATTCAAGAAAATGTAAAGATAATAAGACCAAAAAAAGTATATAGTAGGAACTAAATAATAATAGATTGTTTATATGGTATCTGTATTTAAAGATGCAAGTTGACACTAAAAGACAATTTCGAAAATATTTGAAGAATACATCTTATGCAATAACTTTATTTTTTTAAAAAAATATAAAGTAAATTTTGGAGTTTAAATCAAGCTAAAGATTGAGAATTTTTTTCTTTAAAAAATATTTTAGTGGTCAAAAGGCTTATTTTGAGTAAAAAAATAAAATAAAATAATTACTAAAATTATTTTAATATCTTAGAAAATATGGGAAAACTTTTTAAAATATTATTTTGAATATTTAGGAAGTTTATGACAAGGAATATTTTCCAAAAATAATTTTTTTAATAATTTTAAAAGTAATTTTTGAAATTAAGCGTCTATTTCCTTGAAAAATTCAGGAAAAATAGTTTGGAATTTATTTTTAGTCAAAAAATTTTACGAAATTTTTTTTATAAGGTAAAGAATTTAATTTTTTTTGGCCAAAAGGTAATGAAGTTAATTTTTGAAAAAAATTTATAAAGTATTAAGAATTAATTTTTAGAAATTACTTGATGATTCCACTCAATGAAACAAAGGGTGAAGTTGTGAACAAATTATAATGAAGTACAGAATGGTCAAAGGGGCATATTAAACTCACCAGGCATCAGCACTCCCTCCTCTTCATCTTCAAGGCAGGAAGAGAATACGGAGGGGAGGAGCTAAAAGAGGAGGCTTCCAAACTCTGAAACTTGAAACCCAGCCCGTCCTCCTACCATTCTCTATATCCTCCAATCTTCCGTGTCATCGCCGGCGTGTCCGTGCTAAGAATCGTCGCTGTCTTCCTCCGCCGCTCAAGGTACCGTGGTTGTTTTTCTTTTCTCTTCCTTGTTCGACTTTCAGATCCTCTCTTCTCCTTGTCGACGCTAACCGTTGCTGAAGGAGGCGTGCTTTCTTTTCTTCCTCCTCTGATTGTAGCTGCTGTTGTGTGACATTGAGGGAGTCTTCATCTTCTGCAGTTTTTTTTCTGCTTAGTAAGGCGCTGCTGTTAGGGGTACGCTGAGCATTTCTTCCCTGTGTGCATATGTGAGGGAGTGTGTTGTAGAACTCCTCTTTCTTTTCTCTAGATTTGTACAGCTGTGCGTGGATATGTAGACATGTGAATTCTGTTTTGACCCAAGCATATGATAGTTTGGCCTTAGTTTTGTTAGAGATGATGGCTTAATGCTTAAATTTTGTTTGAAATTGAAGAAGTTAATGTTTGGTTGGATTTTTGGGGCTAAAGGAAAAGAGTATTTTTGGTGCCATAAGTTCATGTACCGTGATTGGGAATGGGTAGCTGTAATTGTGTGCGATGTTTTGAACTTGGGGGACAGAGAGATAGTAATCAAGGATGTGTGGACATATTTAGCTTGTACCTGGAGCTTGAATGAATTGTCATGGTACTTGTTTGCTTTGTTAGCTTTGCATTAAGACTTCTACACTATATTGTTAAAAAAGAACTCAATCAGGACATGAATATTATATTTGTAGAGACGATTTACATGTTAGTCTATCAGACTATCACATATTTATAATTTGAAAAGAAATAAATAAAATGCTCAGTTATGAGAGGTTACAAAAATTGTAGAAAGAAAAAAATACAGAAATATGATTGATTGAAGTGTTTTCTTTTTAATCCATAAGTTGTATTTAACACCCTTTATTGGGTTCGGAAAATGAGACTGGAAAATGAATTTAGTGCATTAGATTTTGCCTATTAAGCTTCTAAATGCTTGTGAACGGTGGAGGAAATTCTTAAAATAGTTCATTTGATTGTGTAATAATGGTTATTGTTTGGAAGTGGCAGTGAATGTTTATCTAATTTCACGATGGATTGTGATAATTTTGCTTCAAGTTTACCCTTTCATGAATGTATATCTTAATGATGTAACACAATTCACTAAATTTTCATCCAAATAAATTTTTAAGCCCGGGATCTCATGCAAAATTTATGGGTGGTGCTATCAGTAGGACAACTTATCATTGACAGATTCCCTCCCAACACCCCCCCCCAAAAAAAGAAAAAAGCAATACGTGAATGTTTTTTTCAGTCCAAAGCAATACATAAATTCAAACTACGGAAAACAAGATAGTTATATTCAGATGAAATAGAAGATAATTCTATGAAAATATAAACTTTACAAATATACAAATATAAATTAAATAGAAGTATTATATGCTATTAATAATCAATAAATTAATTTAATAACTCTTTATTTAAAAAATAATTAGATAAAAGAATAATTTTTTAAAAAGCGTTGGACAATGTATCTATGTAATTATATGCCTTTGACTTAATATTATAAAATTCATGACATTTTTTCTTATTAGAAGGTTGTTGTCGCCAGAGGTCACCATCGATCTGGTGATACCTATGTTTTCTGATACTGATCAGCTCTAAGCCTATAATTGGAGGAGGAGAACGAGCCATTGCATATAGAGAGAAGCGGATTTTTGAAGACATGGCAGGTTATTCTACAAACGACACTAATTTCTTCATTTGATCTTGGAGTTCGCAAATTGTCAATATCTGTATGTATTTATGTGTTTATGCATCTTTAAAAACTTGCAGAATGGTAGTTCTTTTATTGGCATGTATTTTGTCATGACAGTATTAAATTAGAAAGAGGTAGAAAAGTTGCAGTTTGCAAAATATCATAGTAGCGTTGTGCTGAGCTATTTTTCACCTCTAATTTGTTGTTTGGATTAGATTTCTTTTTTCTTTTTCTTGAGTTTGTGCATTCACTTTCGTTATTAATAGGAGGGAGAAAAGCAAAAGCTTATTGTCGCTTCTTTGTCTGTTAGTTTGGTTGTGTTTTTTGTTTCTGTTTGTGCTTAGTATTGAACTTAAATGCTTGCCATGCTCTTTTATACCTTTTCTGGGTTCAATTTTTCCCTGATTTCTTTGTTTTCTGGAAGAAACTCAAATTAATCATTATCCCCAATTGCAGATAATGAAGAGCCAATGATTATAGGAAATACACTCGATCAATCACCAATCAATAAATATAAGCGCTGGCAATGGTGGTCTTTGGTGGCAGTTAACATTGCTTTTCTCATTGTTGGGCAAGCTGTTGCCGTTCTTCTTGGAAGATTTTATTATGATCAAGGTGGAAATAGCAAATGGATGGCTACTTTGGTCCAAACTGCTGCTTTCCCATTTCTGTATCTTCCATTGTTTTTAATTCCTTCATCTCAGGAGGGTTCTACCACTTTTCGACCTTCTATCAAAATTCTTACCTTAATCTACATTGTTCTTGGGGCCTTAATAGCTGGTGACAATATGTTGTATTCTGTTGGACTTCTATACCTCGCTGCTTCAACATATTCACTGATTTGTGCATCCCAGTTAGCTTTTAATGCTGTTTTCTCTTATTTTATCAATAGTCAGAAATTCACTGCCTTGATCATTAACTCTACAGTGGTCCTGTCTTTATCTGCTTCCCTTCTTGCTATTAATGATGAATCAGCCGGATCGGCTGGTTGTTCCCATGGAAAATACATTCTTGGTTTCCTTTGTACCCTTGGAGCCTCAGCATTGTACTCATTGTTACTTTCCCTCATGCAATTCTCCTTTCAGAAGGTTCTAAAACGGGAAACATTTTCTGTTGTTTTGGAAATGCAAATCTATACTTCACTTGTTGCCACTTGTGCTTCCATTGTGGGTCTATTTGCAAGTGGGGAGTGGAGAACTCTGCATGATGAAATGGAGGGGTTCGGTAAGGGAAGGGTGGCTTATGTGATGACTTTGGTTTGGACGGCTGTTGCTTGGCAGGTTTGTTCTGTTGGAGTTGTTGGCCTGATTTTCATGGTGTCGTCTTTGTTCTCCAATGTTATCAGTACTCTCTCTTTGGCTGTGACTCCTATCGCATCTGTGATAGTGTTTCATGACAAGATGAATGGTGTAAAGATAATTGCTATGCTTATGGCTTTCTGGGGTTTTGCTACTTATATATATCAGAATTATCTTGATGACTCTAGGCATAGAAGAACACAAGCTGCTGTTGATAAATCCAACTGTGATGCTTCTTGCTGAGAACACTGTTATTTTGTTTGGTAACTTAAGACACCTTTCCCCAGTTTCCCCTTTTGGCTCTGCACTTATGTAAAGCAACAAAGGATTTTACTTTTTGTTTTTCTTCTGTCTTTTACTTTTGGTACAACTGGTGAGAGCTAGTATAGTTATGTTTATGTACACATTATGGCTGCCAATTTTTTGCTAATAAAAGTCCTAATAAAAGCAGAGATTCGTCAGGTTTTTATTTTGCACAATATTGTTCCCCATCTGATCTTCAAATGCGGGCACTGCTATATTCCTTGCCAGTTCTTGATAATCATCGAGGTTTCAGGATTTGAGTAATTTATTTTTCGCTGAGGAACCCCTTTGGTTATTTGTTATGACCTTTTCTGAAAAGATGTGAGTAAAATTAATATGTTTTGGTCTGATGAAGTACGCATAAGTAGGAGGAACAGTGTGCGTTTTTTTTTTTTTTTTAAAAGAAAAAACAACTGATAGGCTTAAAGCTACATAGATTGGGTTTTATATGTATATCCTAGTGGAAGGTAAAATGTCCATGAAAGCATGAATAGATGGGTTTCCTCCAGGCCATGTTGCTTTACAATTTCTCTATTTATTTTACCTTTTTTCTTATTATTCAAATGCTTCTATTTTTCTGTTTGCTAAAAATTCAAATTCTAACAGTAACAACAATATGAATATAGCCAGCACCTCTTTTGAAAATTTTTCTGCAACTTTTCCTCCCTGTTTTTCTTTCATGATCAGAGAATAGGTTCTTTCCGTATAACTTGGTTCTCTGCGCCACCACCACATGAACTTCTGCAGCCTCCAATTTCTGATAATCGCTGCTGTATGTTACTGTAGATAAGAAGAGGTACTTAAGTCTGCATGCATTCTACATTTTCTCTTTAAAAGAGAAAATATCTAGTCATGGTAGCAAAAATTTCAATGCAATTGTCATAGGATTGGAAGTTTGCTTCAGTTATCCAGGTGGCGGTAAAGATGGAGGAAGCACAGGTTTTAACTGGAAGGACTTCTATACTTTTTGATGTTCACTCCTCTTGCGTGTTTTGTTTTGGGGTTAAATCTTCAAATCATGAAGGACCTTTGAAACTGGTTGTATCTTTTCTAGCTTTGCTGTAATACTAGAATGCAATATCATTCTTGGTACTTGCATATGTAAACTTTTCGTGGAGAGTTAATTCCGGCCATTTTCTCTGTTCTTGGCAGGGACTGAAGGGAGAAACGGGAAGTCCTCATTCCTGAATGTAAGTTAGAATATTTGATTTGAAAGCTGTTATCGTATTACAACTTAAAGCCAGGCGCTTTTAGGCAATTATTCTTTTGCATCATTTTCCAATTGCCTCGAATAAGAACCATTACATGTCATTGCTGGTCATCATCTAGATGGATAAGAATTGGTTACTTCTTAAAAATAGGAGTTACTTGAGGATTGAAAGGAACAGAGTAGTTTTTATCATTTGCATTTTTCCAAACAGTGCATTTTGAAATATGTGAAGTGTTATGATACATTTTGCAGTTATTTCAATTATGTGAAATGTTTTCAAACAACGGCGAGAGATGATGGTGTGATCACTGCCACAAGGCTGGCCAGAAGAGCAAGGTGCGTTGGAATTTTCACGGTAAATCAATCAAAGTGAAAATGACTAATAAGCATCAGGGCGGTGGGTACATGGACGGACTGGAAAGAAAAAAAGGGTACCTGACATGGCGGTCAAACATTTTCTCCATGGATGTAGCCTCGTTTGGTTTGTGAAATGGAATGGAATGAAAATAATTTCTTAATTGTGAAATGTTATATGCCTGCGATAAAAATTAATAATAAAAAGAAATAATTACAGGGATATATTAGATTTTTCACATATTTATTGTGCACAATGAAAAAGGAATTCTTTTCCTTAGTGCTGCTGCTAAGAAAAGGGGGCCAAAGAATTGCTTCTGAAGATGATAGAAAAATCAGATTTCACGTACAAAAGATGTTGGTTCAGGTCTCTCTGCTAGAGCCAGGAATCCTCGTACTGCTCTAACTTCAGAGTTCAATGAGATAAGATGTGAATAGTGGACTCTGGAACCGTTAGGTATTATTCATGTCTTGAACACTTGAGCCCTTTTGCTGATGAATTGTTTATAACTTGATGAGATACTCTCCGCAGGAATTGACACTTCTCAGACAAATTATGCAAAGGTTTTTACTTTTGTCACCCAAGTTGACTTGTGATTTATTATCTGTCCACAAATTTATCAAAGTTCTTCTTAATTATATGATTTTTTTCGTCAATCTCAAAAGGGCAGGTAGCTTTATTAAAGTAATATTTATAGGGGAAAAGACAAGAAAATACCTTTAAATATACAAAATCCCATATTAGTGCTAGTGAAAAGCAAAAAGTCATATCAGAATAGGAGTATTGATATGGCATTTCTAAATATTGGCAAAAGACAAGCTTGCTCTTTGTAATAGATGTAATTTAATTGATATGGGCACAGAAGGACCGAGATTCACTTGGCGCGGACCTATCACGAAGTTCGGAGGAAGACTGTATAAGAAATTGGACCGGGCTCTTTGTAATCAGGCCTGGAGGAATAGTTTTAGTGAAGCCTTTGTAAAAGTTGGTCCAAGAATACAATCAGACCACCACCCTTTGCTTATTCATCTTGCGGGAATGAAGGGAGACAGATCCAAGCGACCTTTCAGATTTGAAGCTATGTGGCTCTCCCATAAAAATTTCAAACCTTCAATCAAGGAAATGTGGAATGATTCGAAGGAAATCCCAAAGGACTTGGATGGATTGGAAGACTTCCTGAAAGAATGGAATGTAAATGTTTTCGGACATGTGAAGGAAAAAAAGAAAGAGCTAGTAAGGAGGATTGCCGGTATTCAGAGAATCATTGCAGAGACAAGTAACAAATTCCTAGAGGAGCTAGAGATTAAACTTCAAGAGGAATTGCAGGAAGTTCTGAAACAGGAGGAGACCCTATGGTTCCAGAAAGCAAGAACGAAATGGTTAACTGATGGTGATAGGAACACCTCCTACTACCACACGAAGACCAATATTCGAAGAAGAAGGACAAGAGTTATGACACTAAAAGATGACAGGAACGTAGTGGTGGAGGGGAAGGAGGAAGTAGGTAAACTCATTAACAGTCACTTCCAAAACCTCTTCAAAGAAGAAGTGGAAGACCGAGGATGGATCCATACCACACATGGATGGCCGACAGTTAAGCAAGAAGAATGGAGTAGAATTGGCAGGATACCTAATAAAGATGAAATTAAGGAAGCCATGTTCTCTATTGGTGGCTTGAAAACTCCAGGTTCAGATGGTTTCCCGGCAATCTTTTACCAAAAATGCTGGGACATCATGGGGGAGAGTGTTTATAAGGCGGTGGTAGACATGTGGGTAGATCCGTTGAAGATGAAGGCGGTCAACACAACTCTAATCACTCTAGTCCCCAAGGTGGACAATCCTGAGAGAGTGACACAACTTAGACCCATTTCCCTTTGTAATGTCATTTATAAATGTGTGTCAAAACTCTTGGTGAAGAGGCTAAAGCCTATAATGCCGACCGTAGTGTCCCCTCATCAAGTCAGTTTTGTCCCAGGGAGAATTATTCATGATAATATCATCATTGTCAATGAGCTGATTCAATCCATGAGAAGGAAAAAGGGCAAGAAAGGTTATATGGCAATTAAAGTTGATCTTGAAAAGGCCTATGACAGAATAAACTGGAAGTTCATCGTAAAAATTCTAGAGGAGCTCAACTGCCCAGCTGAAACGAAGGAGAGAATTATGAGTTGCATCCACACGGAAAAAACCAGTATTCTTTGGCATGGTGAGAAAACAGAAGAATTTCAAACAACTCGGGGTATTAGACAGGGTGACCCCATTTCCCCCTATCTATTTGTACTCGGAATGGAGAAACTCACTCATATGATCCTAGATAGGGAGAGAGAGAAACAGTGGAGAGGTTTGAGAGCTGGCCGATCAGGGCCTAGTATTACACATATGATGTTTGCTGACGATCTTGTTCTTTTTGCAGAGGCTACTGTTAAGCAGATTGATGTTATCTCGAATTGTTTACAGGAGTTTGGAGAGGTCTCGGGACACAAAGTCAGTCAGGAGAAAACGGTTATCTATTTCTCCCCAAATGTCCCAGTGCACACTAGGAGAGCCATACGCCATAGAAGTCAGTTCAAAGAGGTGGAAGAGATTGGAAGATATCTTGGCGCAAATATCACCTACCCAAGGAGAAGAAAAGCTCGATACACAAGTATTGTAGATAGACTAAAGCAGAAGCTGGGTGGTTGGAAGGCATCAAGCCTTTCTATGGCGGGAAGAATTACCTTGGTCAAAGCGGTCACGAGCTCTATGGCACTTTACACAATGCAACATGACAAAGTGCCGAAATGCATCTTAGAGGATATGGAAAGAGCTCAGCGACGATTTATTTGGGGAGAGGAAGGAGATAAGCACACCTGGCATGCCATAGGGTGGGAAATGATGTGTAAAGAGAAAGAGTATGGAGGGATGGGTATAAGATCTCTGCATGAAATGAATGAAGCATTCATATGCAAGCTACTATGGAGATTGAATACAGAACCAAACGCCCTATGGGTTAAGGTGTTACAAGGCAAGTATGGAAGAGGGACAAGTAACAGAGAAAGACCTGTCACGAAGAATACTGATTCAAGGCTCTGGAAAGAAATGACAAAACTATGGGAAAGGTTTGAGAGTAATATCTCTGAAACCAATGCCTCAACCCACCAAAACATAAAGCAGCTAACATGGAAGCTAACGAGCAATGGTGCTTTTTCAATCGCAAGTGTGTATCAAAAATTAAAGGGCCTACAACAACTCCCACAAGGAAGAAACTGGAAGAAGGTTTGGAAATTAAAGGTACCTCAGAGGATACGGGTATTCATCTGGAGAGTATGCCATAAAAAACTCCCTACAAAGGAGCTCACAAGTAAATGGGATGGAAGTCAAGGATGGTGTGGGATTTGCAACCAGAAGAAGGAGGACCTTCTCCATGCATTAAGGGACTGCCCTTATGTAACCCACATATGGAGAAAAATTATACCGTGGCAGGAAAGAGTCAAGTTCTTTGGCCAACATTGGGAAGAATGGCTGACAGGAAATCTTCTGCAAAGAGTTAAGCACTCAGAAGGCATCAACTGGGATCAATTTTTTGCAGTAGGAATATGGCAGATCTGGAAATGGAGAAACCTCCTCATACATGACAGCGACTTTGAGTTACCTCTCAAACCAGAGAGAGCCATATATAGTTTACTGGAGAGCTATCAACATAAATGGGGAGAGGAACTATTGGAAGAACAGAGAAGCAGAACTAGTAATACCAGATGGATAGTACCTGACAAAGGGTGGTGCAAGCTGAATACGGACGCAACCGGGCCTTGCCAGGGCTTGAATGGATGCGGTGGAGTAATAAGGGGGGACGGTGGGGAATGGCTGGGGGGATTTACTATGAAAATTAATCACTGCAGTGTGACCAATGCTGAAGCTAAGAGTGTCTTAGTAGGCCTAGAGGAATGTTGGAGGCTGGGTTTTAGGAAGGTCGTTGTGGAGTGCGACGCTCGGCAAGTCGTGGAAGCAATAAACGACATGAAGACGGTCAATGGGGACTTCTTGTTATTTGCTCAGATTCGCAGCATGATGCTAAAGGAGTGGCAAGTGAAGATCACACATATCTATCGAGAAGGGAACCGGTGTGCAGATCGCTTAGCTTCACTGAGTCTGGATCTGCCTGAATGGTGGAAGAGCTGGACATCCCCACCCAGTATTTTGGAGAATATTCTAAGAGAGGAAGCTTTTGTAGATATGGCTTCCGGACGCTGACGCGTTCTGTTCGTTTTCTTTTGTGTTCCCTTGTTCTTATCTCTTTATTTTAGTCTTTGGGCTTCGCCCCTTTTTTCACCAAAAAAAAAAAAAGACAAGCTTGCTCTTAATAAATTAACAAAAGAAAAAACAATGCAGAAAGCAAGTTAAAGTAGTCCATTTATATAAAGGTGTTGTTAATCTCTATAAAAGAGTTGTTAATACGCCTAATAAGGGGGCAATATGTGATTTGTCTAAGTTTTTCAATTAATTTGTCCTGTAATGAATTTTGTTAACTATTTGTTGTCAATATATAAAAAATTGTTGTCAATATATTTGGAAGAGTTATTATTTGTCTAAGTTTACTTATTGGTTCGTCTTGTAATGAATTTTTCTGATTATTTGTTGTCAATACATATAAAAGTGTTATTAATATATTTAAAAGAGTTGTCAACACGTCCACTAAAGTTGTAATGAATTTTCTTGATTACTTGTTGTCAATATATATACAAGTATTATTAATCTATTTGGAAGAGTTATCAATGCTCCTACCAAAGTTGTAATGAACTTTTCTAATTATTTGTTGTCTATACATATAAAAGTGTTGTTAATTTATTTGAAAGAGTTGTCAATGCCTCTAACAAAGTTGTTAATATATTTATGTGATAGTAATTTGTGTACCCTGTTTTGAATTTCTCAAATTACTTACAGTGGATACACATAAAGTCATTGTTAACTAATAAATATTACACAATTCAAGTAGTATGTTTCAAATACAAGTAGTTATTAGGTACTACAGAGTTGTCAAAAGGTTTGATAAAGTAGCAACTTTAAAAATATAATATATTGCACAAGTAGATTGAATATATCATATATATTACTAGAAACAACAATAATATAGCTATTAATAACTTTACTTTAATCATTGAGTACAAACCAAACTTTTCATGACAGTAACAAAA